GGTGGTTTCGTTGTGTTTTTGGGTGGGGGAGTCCGCCTGGGGGCTTGGTTGGTGCCGTCGGTTCGTCCATGTCGGCCTTCCGGTGTTGTTTCTGTTGGGGCTGCTCGGGCCCCCGCATGCCGGCGGTGCGCTGCCGGGGGGATTCCTGTTCAGCGGGCTTGCCTGTCTCGTGGGAGGGCAGGCATGTTGACTTTTCTGGGGAGGAGCATCTGGGTGGAGGGGTCCTCGTGGTGTGGCGGTGGGTGTTGGGCACTGGCTTGTTTGCGGCCGTTCTTCTCCAGTGAGGGGGAGATCATTATAATTTTTTATTTATTTTTTATTTTTTTTGTGTGGGAGGGGGGGTGTGGGCGGGGGGATCGGGGCTTGGAGTAGGGCTCGGGATTTGCGCTTTGCTGTGTTGTGTGGCTTTCTTCTTCTTCGGATTGGTGCTGTGGGACCGGTGTTGGGGGGGAGTCGTTCGGGGGCCGGGGTCGGGGTGGGGGCGCTGGCACCGGCGCCGGGGGTTTTTGGGCATTGCCCGGCCCTACTCCGGGGTGGGTCTGGGGTGGGTCCTGGGGTCTGGGATCCCTGGGGCGCATTGCCCTTGGGCGGGGGGCCCCCGGTGGGGGTTCGGGGGTTCGGGTTCTGTGGGGAGTGCTGCTTGGGTTCTGGGCCGGTGTGCACCCGGCTGTCTGCCCCTGCTGCCACGGCCTCTGGTGTGCCGGGGTGCCTCGGGGCCTGCTGGGCTGGGGGGGGCATGGACATTAACACCTATGGCAAGTGCTTACCCCCTCAAGGGTTTGCACTCTGTAAGTGGGGGAAGGGGAGGGAGGGGGAGTAGGTATGATCTCGGCCTGGATGTCTTCTGTCGCTTGTGTGGTGAGTAGCTTGATTGTTATTGTAGGGGAGGGATTACATCTCCGGAGGGGGGGTGGGGGGTGGTGATAGAGGAAAGAAGATCTTGGAAGGGCTTCGGGTCTGGCTCCCTGTCTTGGTCCTGGTCCGTGCTGCCCCCTGGTGGGGCTTCGTCCGGGGTGGGGGCTCTGCGTGTTGCGCGTGGGCTGGCCGGCTGGGGTTGTCCCCCCCTTATTCATTTATTTATTTATTTTTTTTTTTTTTTCTCCCTTTTATATATTTTTTTTTTTTTTTATTTATTTAATTTATTTATTTTATTTTTTTTTTTATTTATTTATTTATATATATTTTTTTTCTTCTCTTATTTATTTTTATTTTTTTATTTTTTCATATATTTTTTTTTTTCTCTTTTTTTTTTTTTTGGATGGACAGGACGGGGGGAGGTCGGTGGTGTCGGCTCCGTGCCCGGCTGGCTGGTGGGTCCTGCTGCCGGTCCCGTGCCCCCGGGCTATGGTGGTGAAACTGGTGGGGCCCCCTTCTCTGGGGGGGCTCTCGGGGAACGGGGGTGCCTATTGGAGTCAGCGGGGGAGCTGGCTCCCTGGGAGTGCAGCAAGCACCCCAGTCTTTTGCTCCCCATCCCCGAAATCCTCCCTCTGCCTGCTCCATCACTCTGCCACACATGTAAGTTTTTGGGGAGGGGGTCGTTACTGGAGGGCCACACCTTCTGATGACGTCCCCCACACCAATTTTATTTTGCATTTTAGACACTTCCATCTACATCATTTTCACAACACACATCTATGTAGGGCATTTTCGGGGGGTGGGGGTCAGGGCCACCGGGGGGGGGGGCTTATTTTATGGGCCTCACCACGGTCGGCCTCCTCCTTCCCCTCTCGCATCTAGACATTGAGGGTTGAGGGTTGTCGAAGGGGGGGGTGTGCTGGCGCCGTCTATCTCCTGGAGGGGGGGTGGACTGTGCCGGACACCCCCTCTTGGTACTCCCAGTTTTAATTGCATCTGAGAGCAACACGCAACAACACCACATTCGAGCGGGCGCAGTGAGGATCGGGGTCTTCTCACACCCCTGTTCTCCGGCTGCTGCCTGGAGTCTGGGGCCTGGAGGAAGAGCAGGCCACCTGGTCCGTGGTTTTGGCTGGGGCTGGCTGCGGGGCCTAGGTGGCCTGCCTGGTGGCGGGGCTGTCACCTCTGCTCTCCCCAAAGAAGGTTGGATGGAGGGGCATGAAGTGCCTGGTTGAAGGTTTTTTTTTTTTGTTTTTTTTTTTTTTTTTCCTTGGGGGGGCGGTTCTGGTTGGGTGGCCGGCGCGGGATGGGTGGGCCCCGGTCCCGGGGGGGGCTCTTGCTGCGGGCGGTCCGGTCCGTGTGCGGGGTGGGGGGCCGTGCTTGAAGCAGGAAAGAGATGGGTTGGTGGGGCGGTGTCGCCGCTCCCCTCCCCTCACACCCGGATTTTAGGTTCACTTATGGGCTTATCCGATAGTCCCGGGACCGACCACCGGTGTCGCCGGGTTTTTGGTCCTGGTATTATTGGATGTGAGTGTTGTGTGAATGTGTGTCTGCGTTGTTATTTTCTTTATTTATTATTATTATTATTTTATTCAATTTTTATTTTTTATTATTTTTATTTATTTATTTATTTATTTATTTATTTATTTTTTTTCCTTGTGGTACGAGTGGGGGCACTAGGGAGGGAAGGCATGATTGAGATGGTGTGTTTTTTTTTTTTTTTTTTTTTTTTTTTTTTTTTCCCTGGTTGGGGTCTCAACCGCACCCTCTCCAAATACATCTCAAGTCTCCGCTAAGTGCGGAGCCCATTCCCCCCGTCCTGCTCTCCCTCCGCTGGCTGGCGTCGGGGCTCACCGGTGCACTGGTGGAGCTGGGGGTGGATGCCCGGGGGGCTGCTGGCTCATTCCTGGCGGCCTCTCCGCTGGCCCCGGCCGGCCGGGGCTTTGCTGGGGCTCCCGTCTGGGGATCGGGTGCCCTTGGGGCCTCGGATCCCTGGGGCCTGGGACTGGATCCGCTTCGGGGTGGGGCTGGGTGTTGTTCGGGGATTTTCGGGGTCGGTGCCGGTGCCTTCGCTACGATGCCGGTTCCTGGGCGGTGTTTCTTTCCTATGCCGGTTCTGTGGTACCGGTTCGGGGGGGGGGGGGGGGGGGGGGGGGGGGGGGCTGCACGGCATGGTGGGGTGCGGGTCTTGGGTCCTGTTTTGGGCTCCGGTTTTTCCGCTCGCACTTCTCCTCTTGCCTATTTATTTTAATTGTAATTATTAATTTATCAATTAATTTATGTATTTACCTATTTTTTTTTTTTTTTTTTTTCTCTTCCTCGGTGGGGGGGAGCGGTTGCGGGTCGGTGTCTGGTGTCCGCTGTTTTTTTTTTTTTTTTATTTAAATGTTTTTTTTTTGGGGGGGGTTTGGCATGTCTGTTTTCTCGGGGGGCGGGCGGGACTGCTGGGTGGGGGTCCTGCTGGCGGCGCGCCGCTGGTATGTGGGGGTCCGGCCGGCTCCGGCGGGGGTGGTGTTGGGGGGCCGGTCTGGGCGGGCTGGCTGCGCTGGCTGGGTATTCGGGTGGGTTTTCCCTCCTGGAGGCATGGCGGGGCTGCTCTGTTCCCGCTGATCGCGGCGGGTGGGGCTGCGGGGCGGGTGGGGGCCTGGAGTGGCTATGGCCGGCGCGTGTTGGGGGGCCGGGGCGGCGGAGCTGCTCTGGCCGTGTGTCAGGGCCTGGTGCGGGCGGCGGGGGGGGGGCGGCGGACGTGGCTGAGCTGCTTTTGCTTCGTCCGGTGGGGGGGTGGCGTGGTTCGCTCCGCTCTGGCTTTGTGCTGCCCCTCGGGCTGCTGGGGGGGGGTGGTTGCGCCGGCTGCGGTCTGCTCCTCTTGCGGTTTTGCGCCGGGCGGCTTTTCTGCTCTCGGGCTGATTCTGTGCGCGGTGTGTTTCGTTGCGCGCTGTTGGCATCGGTCTCGGTGGGGTGGGGCTTCGCTTTTGGCCGGGGGGGCGTTTTGGAGGGGTCCCGCGGCGCTCGCGGCCGGTTCACGGCGGATGCGCCTGAGTGTTTTCCTGGGTGGTGCGGTCGCGGTGGGTGTTGCGGCCGGTCGCCGGGGCTTGGTGCCGGGGGGGCGGGGCGTGTTTCGGTGCTCTGTGGGGCTGGGGCGCTTCGGTCGGCGCCGTGGGGGGGGGCTGGTGTTCGGTGCCCGGCCCTACTTCGGGGTGGCCGGCGGCCGGCGGGGCCCGCGGACTCGTCCCCGAGGCTCCCCGGGGCGCCGGCATGGCGGTGGCTGGGGGGCTTCTTCGTGGCTGTCTCTCCTCCTCCCTTGGTGGGGGTCGGATTTCCTGGGCTGGCCCCGCCTTGGTGCCTTTGCTCTTGGGGTCCCTTTGGGCGCCTGGGGTTTTGGGTCTCCCGGCGCTGGACTCAGTGCTCTGGGGGGGGGGCGCCTCTCCGGCTCTCCACAACCACTATTGAGCATTTTTTCTATGGTTAAACTTTACATGCACAAGTTCACCCTCACAAACAACTACAGGTGCTAGGCTTCAGGTACTTAGAGATTCACTTCCAAACAGAAACCCCACATTCATATCTTCAGGTAACACAGAGTACATGTCAGACTTAATAATATTACTTTAGTGATAGTTTCAAGGTGTTTGCTTTATTGTATATCTCGTACCATGTCTTTTGGTTGTGCTGTTCTCTTTTTTTTTTTTTTTTTTCCATCTCATTACAGGTGTTGAAGCAGACTGAAAATGTTTTGTCATTGTCTCCTTCCTATCTCCTCTTTCTTTCATCTTTTGTCCTGTTTTCTTTTCTTTTTCTTTTTCCTTCTTCTTCTTCTGTTTTTCTGCTCTACTTACATTGCAGTGTCCATATGAACTGTAAAACTCCCTGCATAATTATAATAAAGCAATTTATATACATGAAACAAGTGGAGCAGTATGGCAATTGCGATACCGCTACACTTGTGAAAGTAAAATCTGTTGGGCTCCTTTTGGCATCAAGACAATTATTCTTATTGGACACTGTTAAAAAAAAAATAAAAAAAAATAAATAAATAAAAAAAGAATGAAATACCGAGAGAGAAGCTGGAATGATGGTGTTTTGCCCGCCGATGACCTTTGGATGTGCTGTGCTCATGAATAAAGTTTGTGGTCTTGTTCCGTCAGGCTGCCCCCTGCTGACCACGACCGGCCTGTCAGGCCTCATCCAGCTGCAGGAGCTAGAAGAACTGGAGCTGACCAACTGTCCTGGAGCCACCGCCGAGCTCTTCAAGTACTACGCCCAGCACCTGCCCCACTGCATGGTCATCGAATAAGACCGCCCAGCCCTCATCAGACTGACCACCTCCTTCAACCTCGTCCTTTTCACACTGACCTGTTCCTGCATTGTTCCTCCTCCCCTGCCCCACCACACTTCACCCACCGCCCCCCTCAGCCACCTGAACGGAGAGGCAGGAAGATACAGGAAGGGACCCGCTGCGGATAAAGGCAAGGATGGCGTCTGAGCTTTGCTTTAGAAGATGCGTGAAGAACTTGATGAGACGTCTTGTCTGACAGCAAGTTTTCACGATGAAGGGAAGGCTGTTAGTCCCGGAGGAGCCTCTCTGCCGACCTGGAGGGAGTTTTTTAATAGAAAAGTTGGAGAAGGGAGTTCAGAGCCAGAAGTTCTGAAGAGGAAGTTCAAAACTTTTTGTTTGATGAAGATAAAGAGTTTTTTTAGCCGTTTAAACTCACACATAAGCTCATAAACTGAAACCTATTCTATATGTAAATGAAGCGAATATAACTCCTGGAGATCATGAGTGCTGACAACCCCCCACTCCATCCTGTAATATACCTGCTGTCCACCCCCGCCCCCCGGGTTCTCAGAAGGAACCGAAGGTTTAGTTTTGTTTCGTTTAGAAGACTTTGCTTTCCGGCTGAAGGAACCGGACAGAACCGCTTCTGTCTGCGTCAGACTCGCAGCTTCCCGTCTTCAGGATCAGCGTTTCCCCCGATTTCTTATTGAACTGAAATCCCCCAAAAACCAACAGACAAAACAAAAAAAATTAAAAGAAAAAGAAGATCAGAAACATAACTGTTTACATCAGCTTTCTTTTATGGGGTATTTGCACGCTTGTTTGACTCGTTGGTTTTCACAGCCATTTGTGGGATCCTCTGTTTTTGTTTGATCTTGGGCTGTTTAAGGGCAGACGGGGGTAGATGGAGGGTAGATGGGGCACATGGAGGGCAGGTGAGGCAGATGGAGGGCAGACGGGGGCAGACAGTGGGTAGATAGGGGCAGATGGGGGGTAGATGGGGGCAGACGTGGGGTAGATGGAGGGCAGATGGGGGGCAGACGGTGGGTAGATGGAGGGCAGACGTGGGGTAGATGGGGGCAGACGGGGGGCAGAAGGAGGGCAGACGGTGGGTAGATGGAGGGCAGACGGGGGTAGATGGGGGCAGACGGGGGGCAGAAGGAGGGCAGACGGTGGGTAGATGGAGGGCAGACGGTGGGAAGATGGGGGCAGACGGGGGGTAGATGGAGGGCAGACGGGGGGCAGAAGGAGGGCAGACGGTGGGTAGATGGGGGCAGAGGGGGGGTAGATGGAGGGCAGACGGGGGACAGAAGGAGGGCAGAGGGGGGGTAGATGGAGGGCAGACGGGGGGCAGAAGGAGGGCAGACGGGGGACAGAAGGAGGGCAGACGGGGGGTAGATGGAGGGCAGACGGGGGGTAGAAGGAGGGCAGACGGGGGGCAGAAGGAGGGCAGACGGTGAGTAGATGGGGGCAGACGGGGGGAAGATGGGGGCAGACGGGGGGCAGAAGGAGGGCAGACGGGGGGTAGATGGAGGGCAGACGGTGGGAAGATGGGGGCAGACGGGGGGTAGATGGAGGGCAGACGGGGGGCAGAAGGAGGGCAGACGGTGGGTAGATGGAGGGCAGACGGGGGTAGATGGGGGCAGACGGGGGGCAGAAGGAGGGCAGACGGTGGGTAGAAGGAGGGCAGACGGTGGGTAGATGGGGGCAGAGGGGGGGTAGATGGAGGGCAGACGGGGGACAGAAGGAGGGCAGAGGGGGGGTAGATGGAGGGCAGACGGGGGGCAGAAGGAGGGCAGACGGGGGGTAGATGGAGGGCAGACGGTGAGTAGATGGGGGCAGACGGGGGGTAGATGGGGGCAGACGGGGGGCAGAAGGAGGGCAGACGGTGGGTAGATGGAGGGCAGACGGTGGGAAGATGGGGGCAGACGGGGGGTAGATGGAGGGCAGACGGGGGGCAGAAGGAGGGCAGACGGTGGGTAGATGGGGGCAGAGGGGGGTAGATGGAGGGCAGACGGGGGACAGAAGGAGGGCAGAGGGGGGGTAGATGGAGGGCAGACGGGGGGCAGAAGGAGGGCAGACGGGGGGTAGATGGAGGGCAGACGGTGAGTAGATGGGGGCAGACGGGGGGTAGATGGGGGCAGACGGTGGGTAGATGGGGGCAGATGGAGGCAGATAGGGGGCAGACGGTGGGTAGATGGGGGCAGACGGGGGGTAGATGGGGGCAGACGGTGGGTAGATGGGGGCAGATGGAGGCAGATAGGGGGCAGACGGTGGGTAGATGAGGGCAGACGGAGGGCAGACGGTTGGTAGATGGGGGCAGATGGAGGCAGATAGGGGGCAGACGGAGGGCAGACGGTGGGTAGATGAGGGCAGATGGAGGCAGATAGGGGGCAGACGGAGGGCAGACGGTGGGTAGATGGGGGCAGACGGAGGGCAGACGGTGGGTAGATGAGGGCAGACGGAGGGCAGACGGTGGGTAGATGGGGGCAGATGGAGGCAGATAGGGGGCAGACGGAGGGCAGACGGTGGGTAGATGAGGGCAGATGGAGGCAGATAGGGGGCAGACGGTGGGTAGATGGGGCAGACGGGGCAGATGGAGGGCAGACGGGGGGTAGATGGGGGCAGACGGTGGGTAGATGGGGGCAGATGGAGGCAGATAGGGGGCAGACGGAGGGCAGACGGTGGGTAGATGAGGGCAGATGGAGGCAGATAGGGGGCAGACGGAGGGCAGACGGTGAGTAGATGGGGGCAGACGGAGGGCAGACGGTGGGTAGATGAGGGCAGATGGAGGCAGATAGGGGGCAGACGGAGGGCAGACGATGGGTAGATGGGGCAGACGGGGCACATGGAGGGCAGACGGTGAGTAGATGGGGGCAGACGGAGGGCAGACGGTGGGCTGAAGGGATGAAGGAACAGAAGGTCAGACAGGATGTCATTGACCCGTCAAACCACTCAGACAGCGGTTACATCATCATGAGCAGCGATAAACTGAATGAATCCGATGTTTCCAGATGCAGACGTAGGTCAAACAAAAGTCAGCCTTTCTGTTAGCGTTTAAAAGATGTGCTCTCCCTCTCGCTGCCCCACAGCCTGATGGGTCACAGACATCAAAGACGCCTCTAACATCCCTTCAGCTTCCACTTTGTTCTCATTGAAGATAGAAATAACTCAGCCTGGGTCCTTTTCTCAGTAACAGCATCCAGGATCAGTAGATGGAGGCATGATGCCTTCGCTGACTGGATTTCTGTTTCCTGTCAACAGACCATTTCTTTGGGCTCATGAAAGCGGCGCGAGGACTTCTGTTAGATGTTCTGTTTGAACTTTGATCTGATGGCCATTTAAAGGGTCACCTTGTGTGTTTGCTGGAGGCTGCTTAGCAGCATCATGTCTGGCAGGCGGGACATGGAGTGATGCATCCACCACCGTCCTGCAGCTCCACCTGCTGGTAACCACAGTAACGCAGTCTGCTGCATCAGTCAGACAGGAGGGTGGATGCTGCCCTACCTGCCTCTCTGTGGTGAAGCTGTGGAGCAGCTTTGCTCCGCATCGGACCGGTCCTGGTTGGTTCTGAACGTCTGGATCTGCAGTTTGTTGAAGGAAGCTGAATTGTTTGTAGTGAATCCAGAGCACTGAGGGTCCTCGCCTCCTGTGATGATGATGTTCAGCTGTTCTGCTTCCAGGCGGAGCGGGACGGCAGTGGCGTTCCCGTAGAGTCGCTCCCTCCCTTCTGCTCCGACCTGCCTCCCACCTAAAGGGGCGAAAGCAGGATGTGCCAAACGCAGCCGCCCGCTGAGTGGCGGCGAGCAGTCCCTGCATGTTTTCACTCAGTCCGGGTTTCATTTCTGGTTCCAGAGGATCATTGGTGTACAGTCGTATATTTATTTATTCCTGTATTTATTTATTTAAATAAATGTGTCTTATTTGCAGAATTTATTTATTGAAAAGGCATTTCAACAATTTTCTTTAAGTTTGCTTCAAATGTGACCTTAATTGAGCTAATTGCTGTTTGATTATTAACGATATGATGATTTATGTTGTGACATTTCAGGCCCCTTTAGTAAAATGGACTAAACTTCATGAACATGATGATCTTCAGCCTGGTTTTCCTCCGTGAAGTCTGTGTTGCTGTTTGGTCCCTCCAGTTAGGGCCTATCTGCTCTAATGTTATATTTACTGTCATTGTGCTGAATGTGGCAGCAGATCTACAAAGTGTGATTTCCATAAAGCTTCTAACATGTGACGTCACCCTCTGCCATGGCTGAACAATGTTTACATCATCCAATTCCTGAAAAAGATCTCAGCCGATTCTCTGGAAGCTTATTACTGACAAAACTCCTAAAACTGGAAAAACCTTCAGAGAGGCGAGCGTCATCCAGCGCCCTGCAAACCACCGCTTAACCCGCTTAACCAGGTTAACCCGGTTAACCCGGTTAGAGGACTAGTTCAGGCTTGGTGAGGGGAGGTTCTGCTGAAGCAAAGAATCAGATGAGAATCAGATGGACTCCATGATGGTTTGGGTTCAGCATGCAGCGTTTTCGGTCATCAGCATGTTTGCAGTCAAGCTGCTCGTTATTCAGACAGGAAATGGAGTCTGGAGGCGTCTCTGATCTTCCTGAACCGCAGCAGGAAACGGAAACACCTTCAAATTTTAAGCTCAGCTTTAGAAGATGATAAAATCTAAGGAATCGTCATCCGATTGGCTGCTGCTGACGACTGAATGTCTTTCTGGTGACAATAGATCCAGATCCAGAACTATGGGCTCCATTATGGGCTGGAGCAGCTTAGCTTAGCTTAGCTTAGCTTAGCTTAGCTTAGCTTTAAGTCCCGCAGCGTTTAAAACTCGCTGTGGATCATGAACCTCAGAGGAATCGGCTCCACCTGCCGGCTCAGAAATGAGGCTGATCCTTCTCATTCTTTCACATCTGGATTTTCATGTCACACATATTTATTTTTTAAAAAGCATCGCTATCCAGCCCTACTTTCTACAGAACAAATACTTCAACAATGTTTGACTCTAATGTTTAAACTGAATATTATTTGATTGATGTGTGGATGTAAGGTTATTAGTTACCTAGAAATCAGATCTAGAAAGTTTATCAGGCTGCAATGTTTATTAGTGATCATCTAAAATGATCTATTTCCTATTTCTATGTTTCTATCATGAAATAATTAAGGCTGCATCTGAAGCTGGGAACCAAGTGAGCATCTGGACTTTACTGAGAACAGAGAGATTCTGAGAATAAACTAACCGGCTTCCCTCTGCAGGCTCAGTTCAGCTTCCTGGAGAACCGGTGAAATAACACGATTCTTTAAACGCACCTGGTTGGTCCCAGAAGTTCCCACCTGAGCAGAGCTGAAGGATGGGAACATGAGCCTCCTGCAGTTTAGAGGAGCAGCACCAGGAGGTCATCATGAGGAGGTTTCCTTCGACCTTCTCTGCAGAGGAGCTCAGATGTTTTTTCTCTTTTTACAGAACCTCACCTCAGAAACCCTCAACGCTCAGTTTAAGGTTCTTATTGTGGAAAACGACGTGTTTTTTAGGATGATTGTAATAATTTGAACCAAATTTAGCCTCTTTGTTCCTGTTTAATCTCAGCCGTGGAGTTTCTCCGCTTTGGGGATTTTGCTTCTGATGAGCTTCCAATGAATTCACACGTCTGTTTACATAAGATGAGCTCTCATGTCATTTTGTAGCTGCAACCGACTAACCTTTGTACGGAGCATCACCCCGGTCATTTTCTAAGGCGGATCCTTTCTATCACTGTCTGCGCTCCTTTGCTCATCGTTCAGCGTTTTGTTACGACCCTTGTACAGCACAAGTCTAACTAAGCAGTGAAATAAAACTGATGATTTACTGACTTTATGGAGATGCTGGTTTTTTCTCTCAGTGCTGCTGATGCTGAGCGCACTTTAACTGATGGCCACTGGGTGGCAGTGGAGAGTCCCAAAGGCTGAGATGACGTAACCATTGGACCTTTAATATAAAGAAAATGCTGAGATCTGTGAAGAGTTATTTGATCCTCGAAATAATAAATTTAGTTCATTATTTTTTAGAACAACTGATCAAACAGGTGGAAAAACTGCCGCTTATTTCAGGAAGTAAAAGGAAATATTTTAAGCTTTAATTGATAATAAGTTAGAGGAGGATGGAGGAAGCAGCTGTTTCTCCATCTGCACCACCTCCAGTTTCCTGGCTTCTATCTCGCTCTGAGAAAAATTTAATATTTATGCTCATTTAGCGTCTTTTAAGAGAAACATTAGGGGGTTATTTTTTCCCACATTTTTTTCATTATGTCATTCATCCATTTATAAAAGTCAAACTTCTAAACTAAATGTCTATTATTTTAACTGAAAATTTAGTTTTTAAACTTAACATTTGTTAGAGTTTGTTAAATAACTATTTAGCTTGATGCTAAATAGTTATTTAAGAAACTAAATATTAGTGTTTAGTTTGGAACCTTGATTTTATGAAATGAATGACATAATGAAAAAATAACAAACAGTAAATAACCAGAACTAGTTTTTAACTGCTTCACTTCCCAAACGGCTCCACTGCAGCGGAGAAAAGGTCATTTCTCTCTCATTTATCTGGATCCACTTCCTGTGTGGATCAAATATTTCCAGAGTTTATCCGTAAGCAGCAGAAACTTTGTATTTAACTCTAAAAGCTTTTAAAGCTGCTGGATTTGTCGGCGCCTCCTGCATGGATGGAGTCTGGAAGAAGGCGATGATCTCAGATGTTCAGAGAATAGATCAGCAAACATAGACTAAAACCACAGCAAACTTTTATAGCTTTTATTTCAGATTAAAAAACAACATTTTGAAAACCACTTGTGTATCAGTCAAGCAGAGGTTGTAAAAACAATCATTGGATATAACTTTGTAAAAAAAAGAAAAAAAAAAGACAAAAAGTTGAGGATTATTTAAGTTGAATTTTTGGGAAATCTGCGAAAGAGGAAAAATGTTTAGCATCTAATCCTGAACTTCTTATTTAATCTGAAGGATTTTAGAGGCGTTAAACGTTGCAGCTCCTTTTTCACCAACATGCTTGGTTTTCTTCATCCTTCTTCATCTCTCAGAAACCCAGATTAATGCGATGTTTGTGGAAAAGGTTTGAAATCCGCCTCAGAAGCGGATTCCTCAGCCTGTAATCCTAAAGCTCCTGGATAAAAAGCTTCCTTCTTTATTTTCTCCACTGGGTGGCGCTCTGAGCAAAGCTGCTGCTTCTACTGACGTTTCAACACTTGAATGAAAAACGCAGATTAACTCAGGATTATTTTCAGATATTTTGGCACTTTAATGCAGACAGAAAACTTTGAAGAAAGTTCTAAACATTGCGTGGAGTTTTTCACTGGTTCCCAGTTACAGCTGGTTGGATCCCAGTGACCCCTACAGGTCAGCTATAGTTTAATCCTGGTCAGAAACACACAGCTTCAGCCCGAGGTCTACTAACTACAGCCTGATGGAGCTGCTGCAGCATCTGAAGGAGCATCTCTCCACCCTGCAGGGCCTCCTGTGACCAGCTGACCTTTGACCTCACAGCAAACAGACACCAGCTCAGCATCAACATTTCTTCTATTTTATGTAAAAACTGTTTCCCACTACTTGGTCCCACATTAAAGATTGATGGTTTCCCATATGTGACTGAGGGGAGGGGCTACAGGGGGCGGGTCCATCACAGCTGGCTCTCGATGTCACACGGGTCGGCGCCGTTCTTCAGGGGCCAGCTGGACAGCACCAGCTCGCTGAGGTTCATGTTGCTCTCGTCGAGGCGGCGCACTCGGTAGCTCTCATAGTGGATGTTGTGGGCGACGTCCTTCAGGTCCTGAAGGTTAGACCTGCAGAGAACACAAAGCGTGAGAACCCGCGCCTGAGCTCACTTCCTGTCAGAACGCTGAGGTTGGAGGAAGGAAACATCTGAAGGCGCAGACGACCCCTGACCCCACGCTGCCGCTCATGTCGGCGTGTTGGAGATCGGTCGGTCGCCTCTACTTCTCCTCCAGCTTCTCTCATCTTTAGAAAACCAGTTCAGACCAGCAGCTGTTTGTGACGCCGCCTTTAATGAACCAATCTAGGTTTATAATCTGTGCTCATGGAGCCACATTCAGACCCTCAGAGATGTTCAGCTGCTTCCAGCCTGGAGGTCAGACTGGTTTACAGCTTCAGCCAGCAGACGGCGCCTTACTTTGACTAGGCCAGGAGTTGGCCATGTTGGACCAGATCAGATCAGCCTGCTGAATGGGCTCTAAGTGTTTATTAGGACTTTATAGAACTAAATCAGATTAAATATATCATACAAATTAACGATTAATAGTTTACCCTGGAGAAAATGTGATTAATCTGCTGTAGGATATAAATGTTTACCCACATATGGATAAATGTGTATAAACATTACAATTAACATTAATTTGCTTGGATTCTACAGGAGAGGATCCTTATTCATTAGGGGTTGAACAGT